GTGATGATGCCATTGCACTCTGGCCTGAGTGACAGAGTGAGACCTCAACTCAAGAACAAAAAGTCAAAATAATAATTATAATAATAATAATAATAATGATGATGATGTCTATTAAAAAGAAATATACCAAAATGTTAAGAGTGATTATCCTGCTGTGGTGGACTATGGGTGATTTCTGCTTTTGTCTTTATAGTTCCCTATACCATATACATTTTCTAGAACAAACTCTATGCTGCCCTAAAACATGTATACATGCAAAATGCAACAAGAAACAAATTGTTTCTCAACATGTTTACATACTAAACACTAAACCTGTGGTTATAAACTTCAAAAGTAGATATTGTTTTCTGGAGGATCACAATTTGTTACACACTGACTATGCTAAGAATTTGAGCAATCCACTGAGCAATGAACAGCATTATTCCTTTTTAAAAAATAAGGAAACATGTTCGGAAAGAAAAAATCATACACTAACAGGTGGCAGGTGAGCTGACTCCAAAGCGTGTGTTTTTTCCCACGTCATGCAGCATCCCAAGAATTACTTGTTCAACACCTCATAAACCAGTTTTAGTACACACATTATCTCAAAGTACTTCGCAACAGTGCTGTGAAGCAAGTTATAAGCACCCACACTTATGTGAAACCGGCACCACTGCAGTGCTGACTCCAACAAAAACAAAACAAAATCTCCATCAGATAAAACCATACAAGCAGCCTTGCTACAGAAACAGTGGCTGCCCAACCTACTCCAGATAACCTGTAATTGCCACAGAGATCCTATTTCCTCAGAAAGCATCCTGAATCATGCCACTTCTCTTGGCCATAAGGCAGGTCTTTCAAAATGTACTGAGCCAAAGAACCAAAATGGAATATTCTTATAACACTGTTTTGAAGCATGAGAAGATATCTAGTCTCATTGCTTGCCTTCGTCAAGGCTCACCACTCCACTGATCAAGTTATTTTAACATGACAGAATCGATAAACTGGGAATAGCCCTGATATCTGAGCTATTTATGAAACATTTTCATGATTCCTTAAATCACAGATGACTCAACTAAGATGGTCCCATTTTTAAGTATATTAGTCCTTCATAAAGCAAAATAAGCCAAGAGCAGATTATATGTGGGGCCTGAGCAAAGGAAACCTAAAACCTGCCCAAAGTATCTCAGTATCCATGAACAAGATCAAATACATGCAGAGGCACCAGCCCAAAGGACACAGGACCCAGCTTGAAGGGGTATCCACTGGAAGATTCTGGGATAACATGAACATCAAACTTAAAAAACTCAGCAATAAGAAAACAATCTGCTATAGGTGGAATATCCTCTAAAAATTCAGATGTTGAAACCCTAATCCTTAATGCAATTTTAGGAGGTGGAGCCCTTAAGAGGTAATTAGGTCATGAGGGTGGAACCCTCATGATGGGATTAGTGATCTTATGAAGAAGAGAACCAGAGAGGATGTTCCCTCTCCCTGCTCTCAGCCATGTGTGAACATGCAAGGAGACAGCCAGGTGCAAACCAGCAAGAGGGCCCTGACCAGAACCTGACCACACTGAAGCCCTGATCTCAGACTTCCTAGCCCCTCAAACTGCAAAAAATTAAGTTTCTGTTTAAGCTACCTGGTCTATGGTATTCTGTTATGGCAGCCCAAACTAAGACACAATCCAACTGTTAGAAATAGGTGAAAGATTTGAATATCTATTTTCCTAAAAAAGATGTACAGATTACAAATAAGCACATAAAATGATCCTCAGTATTATTAGCCATTAGGAAAATGCAGGCTAAAATCACAAGACACCAACATCCACCTATTAAACAGCCCAGACAACATGGCAAGACCTCGACTCTACAAATAATTAAAAAATTTTAGCCAGGTGTGATGGCACACGCCTGTAGTCCCAGCTACTTGGGAGGCTGAGATAGAAGGATCGCCTGAGCCCAGAAGGTCAAGGCTGCAGTAGCCATGAGCATGCCACCGCACTTCAGCCTGGGCAACAGAGTGAATCCTTGACTCAAGGAAAAAAAAAAAAAAGAACTGACAACATAAAAGAATAACTGAAACTCTCACACACAGCTGGTGTGAAAATACAATGGCACAGGCCACTTTGGAAAACAGTTTTATAAAGTTAAACATATACTTACTATAGGATCCAACAACCCCATTCCTAGTTATTTCCCAAGTAAAATAAAAACCTGTACCTGAAACACTTTAATACTAATCAAAAACCAGAAACAACTCAAATGTGCCTCAACAGAGAAATGGATTAAACTGTGGTGCATCTATACAATGCAATAAGACTCAGAAATAAAAAGGAACACACTCAATGCACACAACACCTTAGAGGAAATCTCAAGTGCACCATGCTAAGTGACAGAAACCAGACTCAAAAGGCTACACGCTGGTTTCATGTATACGATATTTTGGAAAAAGTAAACTATCAGAAGTTGCCAGGGGTTAAGGATGGGAGAACAGTTTGAAAACAAGAGCATGAGGAAATTATTCTGGGGAGATGAAATAGAATTGTTCTGTATTTTAATTGTACATGAAAATTCCTATGGGTTAAAATTCATGACCTGTACATCAAAGAGTAAATTTCACGGCTTGTAAACTGGAAATTGATTTTTAAAAAAATCAAATGAAAACAATTGAAAAGGATAAAATCCTACCGAATTAGAGTAGAAATCCAAGAGCCTACGCTGAAAGGAAAAACAAATGAATAAGCAAAATACATATAAAAGGGAAAACACTTCCTTATAACAGAAAATCCACTAATAACTCAAAGAAGTTAGGGAACACCCAGACAGGACATGGCTCCTGAAGCAATGTGCTGAGAATTTAGCATCACTCCTGGGTTAGGCCTGTTAAAAGAACATAACCTAAAACTAACCGTGAGAATACCTCAAACTCATCTGAGGTCACTCTACATAACTGGCTTATACACTCAGGAACTGGTCCAGATTAAAGAAGACTAAAGAGGGATGAGAACACAATGCAATGTACAATCTTAGAATTGCTTTTTTCTATAAATGACTTTACTGGGATAACTGACAAAACTCAATTTGGTATATCAATTAGGTAAGAGTTGTGTCAATGTTTAATCTCCTAATTTTGATCACTGCACTATGATTAGAGAGTTCCTTATTTTTAGGGTGTAATAATACAGAATTTTTCTTTTTTTTTTTGAGTTGGAGTCTCACTCTGTCACCCAGGCTAGAGAGCAGTGGCACACTGTTCCAGCCACTGCAGCCTTGACCTGCTGGGCTCAGGCGATCCTTCCACCTCAGCCTTCCAAGCAGCTAGAACTACAGGCACACACCACCATACCCAGCTAATTTATTGACTCGGTGCAAACTCTCAGATGACAGCTTTTCTCTTAGCTATAGTCCTTCATCTTGACACAGCCTCTTTCAATCAACAGATCTTAATACTTATAAAGATACATCATCAAAAAGAGTAAGACTAAATAAGGTTAGTGGGAAACTATAATTTTAAGTAAGAAAGTCCTATAATAAGTAATTAACAATTCCACTTTAGAAAACAGCATGAGACACCCTCTCATGTAAATATGACATTGATGCCACCAAACCACTTCAAGAATACAAAAAAAGAGGCAAACACAGACCACAAGTGAGACTTCTGTGGCCATGCTCACCTTTGAAGAGGCAGAACAGGCCATTCCTACTAGGCCACCACCAAAAGACAGAATGTGGCTTTTAGATCCACAATTTCAAATGAATATGCAACGAGAAAAGCTGGAGTTGTTACAGTAAGTTCAGGCCTTTCTCCATAACTTCACATCTGGGAAGTCCAATCTTAAAACTAGAAAAACACTATGTGCAGTGGCACTCACTCCATCTCTTTGTTTAGCGGCACACACAGAATTAATGAATTAGCCCTGAGTTCTAGCATCCTGGGTAAGTCTGATCTTGCTTATAGAAGTAGGATCTTAGTACTTCATTCTCAGAACACTTTAAAGCCCAAGCCAAGGATCTTCTTTCAAGGATGTGAAAGGCATTACTCATTCAAATCTGAGTCATGGTTTTATAAAGCACATACCTCACCTGTATTATTTCATCATCTTCATGCTGGAATCTAATATTCCTTTTTTTTTTTTTGAGTTGGAGTCTCACTCTGTCGCCCAGACTGGAGTACAGTGGCCGCTCCCGGCCACCGCAGCCTCGACCTGCTGGGCCCCAGCAATCCTTCCGCCTCAGCCTTCCAAGTAGCTGGAACTACAGGCGCGCGCTACCACGCCCGGTTAAGTTTTTGATTTATTGTAGAGATGAGGTCTCACCAAGTTGCCCAGGTGGGTCTCGAACCCACGGGCTCAGGCAATCCACTCACCTCAGCCTCCCAAGGCACGAGATTACAGGCTGAGCCACCGAGCCCGGCTAATATTCCTTGTGATGGTGTTCTATTCAATATCAGAAACTTATAGAAATAAAATACCTTCCCTCTCAGTTTGTAAACCACAAACGTGAAAGCAAAATTATTTGAGTGATAGGATGACATATTTATGAAATAAGCAGCTACTACCCTAAGCTGCTGGAACAGGCAAAAATGACAAAAGAACGAATTGCTATTCAATTTTTAAATAACTAGTCTAGATTTGCTAAAATCTACAATTATTTTAAATATTTTTTCTTCTGCAATAAAAATTAAGACAACTCTCAGTTTAACAGTTTTTCTGGATGTTAATTCTAGGAGGAAATAAAGAAGATAAACTTTCCTTAGTATTCAGTGATAAGCTGAACCCCAAAATATAAACACAAGTGTGTGTAAGTTTATATTAAAAATAATTCTTCGTACGGTCTTTTACTAAAGCAAATAATATAAAAAGAATGTAAAATCTTGTTTTATGCTTGAAGATTTTGTCCCAGGATGTATAACTCTTGAGCTTTTATATCCAGCACTATAGTATGTGAAAATACCACAGTGCCTCATATAAGAAAGCAAAGGGATAAAATTCCACATGCAAGATGACCTAAAGATCAGAATTAATTACATTCAACATAATCTTTTATTGTCTGAAATTTTAAAGTCATCAATATCTTTCAATGCTTTCAGTGAGCATTCAAAAAAGTCATATTTACTGGGTTTAAAACTAAATTTCTCCTCTCAAAATATGGAGGCACACATGGAAGGACAGTAAAGGGTACTGTGTTCAACTCCTGAGCTTGCAAATGTGGCCACAGTCCACGACACATCTCATGATGTCATCATGGCAGCACCCTCCTCACCAGTGGCATCCTGGGAAATATGCAGGTCTTCAAGCATCTCAGCCAGGCTAATGCGAGGTGCTCCTTCATCATCTGTGTCACTTTCCACAGGGATGGCTGGGTCTAAGAAAAACACAAAGAGGATTTTGAATAAATACGAAGTACTTACAAGTACACAAAGATATACAAATTCCTGCCCCCACTATTATTAGTGCTATTTAACTATGCTATATCAGATGTTCTTGTATCTTAGAGCAGGCATTCAAATTAAATTCATTTAATAAACGTCTTACTGCACAAATGTAAGAATAAATTTCCACCAGTTTAAGGGTGAGCAACTTAAGGGATCAAGCTAGGATGTCAATAATATCAAATGTGGAATAGCAAACAACATTTTAGTAAGTTTTACTGCTCTACAAATTTTTTTTATAGACCTTTGACTAGAGTAGTTTAAAAACAAATAAAGTCATTTACGGGAATCAAAGTTTAAGATACCAGAACATTCATATTAGGCACTACATGTATATACAGAATATATGACTTAAATCAATCACTCCCAAAACACAAACCTCTGTAAATGTTGATATTTTTTCTAATTGCCTCATCTTCTTCAAGGTCTTCAAGGAAATCTTGGTATTGCCTATAGAATAAAGAAACAATAAAATTTTTCATTTCCACCAAGAAAGTATGAAGTTATATCTTCTTCATTTTCAGCACTATAAATGTGCTTCAAGTAGTAGAATCTTGAAAAATAATACCTGAAAGTCAAATATGGATAATAATTAAATACTGACAGGATTTAAAAAAATATTTTTTTCAAAATTACATGATAAAAAACAGCTGGATTAAGATAATGTTAGCTATAAGACAATGAGAAAACTCCCCTACTCTACCTGCCCCTTCAAAACTCTATGGCCAAATTGAAAGACTTATACACTTTAAGACTTAATAGATGAAACAGTCAAATAGATACTTACAATATTTAATGAATTTAGCATGTTATATATTTATACATATTTTAAATTACACTATGAAAGTATATTTTAGAAATACTGTTGCTATCCACTCACATTTCATAAAATAACTTTATATAAACTCTTAAATTTTTTAGACATCAGTGTCTTCACTATTATTAAGGTCACTTTTTCTGCTTAAATTGTCTGAGAAATAATATAGTTGACAAGAACGAGATGTTTTCTTTTTATCTCAAGTCATAAGCACTCATCTGCTATTTGTGGTATTCACAGGTAATTAATGAATATACAGTCATGAACTACACAATGACATTTTAGTCAATGATGGGCCGCATATACAACATTGGTCCCATAATACCGCATCTTTTCTGTGCTTTTTTTATGTTTAAATACACAGATATTTGTCATTCTGTTATAACCGCTTAGAGTACAGTACACTAACATGCTCTATAGGTTTGTAGCCTAGAAGCAATAGGCTACACCATATAGACTAGGTTACCTAGGTTTGTTTAAGTACATTCTATAATGTTCATACAACCATGAAATCACATAATGATGCTTTTCTCAGAAGGTATCCCCATCACTAAGCAACATATGACTGCATTTTAGCTTTTCAACTGAATTGTTTACATTAGCATGGCAATTACTGGGTCAAAACTCAGGAACTAACTACTAAATCTGTTAAGTGTCATCCTCTCATACTGATTCCATCAATATGTTGCTAAGAATCCAAGACTAATATTGAGTGCAAAGATCACCTATGTGACACCTATTTCCTTACAACATAGAAACAATTTATCTTAAGGATTTCCTTTGAGACAATATGTGAGTGGGGACCCAAAAAACACTGCAATTATTTTTTGGAGAGTGGGCTCCCTGCAGTACAGACATCCCCCACTAAGTGTTCTAGAAACTTATCAGCATCAGTGTACCAGCTAGTGTTGTGAGAGGCTGCACTCAGCTTCAGTGAATTCTTTTTGGAGATTCTTTCCACACATTTGCCCATTTCATGATGGGTGATTTATGAGCGCATCTGCCCACACTGTACTGAGTGTTCAACAGTTTTTGACCAAAAAGGGTGTGGCTCCCATCCCCCACTCTCCCTATTCACCCAATCTCACCCCAAGTAACTTTTGTTTTTTGTTTCCTCAGATAAAAGAAGTCCTCAAAGGAAACATTTTGCCAACATGAAAGAGATGAAACAAAAAATATCAGAAGCACTGCAAGGCATGAAAACTGAAGTATTCAAAGACTGTTTTGAGCAGTGGAAAAGTGTTTCAACAGGTGTATTGTACCAAATGGAGAGTACTTTGAAGGTGACTGAAGCTTAAACATGTAAGAATAGATACACAATTTTTAATAAAGAAATTCTGGAGTTTTTGGGACCCCCTCGTACAAGGTTTAAAGAAAAGTGGGACCTTTCATCGTCTGTATCCATGTTTTCTCTATCTCTTGCAAGCTCTTTCAGTTTCCAGTTCCTACGACGCTGACGTTTGGTACGGTCATAGCTCTTCTTGATTAATACCTGTAAAAGAAATATTTGCAAAGTTATGAAAATGAGAACTATAAAGTGGGGACATAAAATCTAATAAAGTTTTTTAAAAATGAAAGGTAAGAGGAATGCCAGTAGGAGTGGAGAGGCAGTGTCAAGAGGACTTTTAAAACTTTTCTTCATGTATTTAAATTTTTATGAGAATGCATCTAGTACAGCTGGGCATTATTCATATAGTTGTTAAAATTTATTAATTGAAATTTTGCAGTGACTGAACATTAAATGTTTTTTTTGTTTTGTTTTGTTTTGTTTTTGTGAGTTGGAGTCTCACTCTGTTGCCCAGACTGGAGTGCAATGGCCGCTCCCGGCCACCACAGCCTCGACCTGCTGGGCTCCGGTGATCCTTCCACCTCAGCCTTCCAAGTAGCCAGAATTACAGGCATGCACTATCAAGCCCGGCTGATTTTTTGATTTATTGTAGAGATGAGGTCTCGCTGCCCAAGTGGGTCTCGAACCCACGGGCTCAGGCAATCCACTCACCTCAGCCTCCCAAAGGCGTGGGATTACAGGCTGAGCCACCGAGCCCGGCTTAAATGTTTTTTAATACCAGAAGCTTCAGCTTTTTTTTTTTAACTCAAACTTCAGTTTTCAGCTACCATTCATATAAGTCATTCTGTACAAACAGACACTTTTTCTTTCTCTTATTCCCACTAATCAGCACTTACAGAACCATGTGTAGTTTGCACAACAGTATATCTTGGGACACTATTTTAAAAAACTGTGGAATGAATACATGAAAATAATTTTACCAAACATAACATCATGTAAGATTGCCATGATCTCCTCTTCTGACCTTGTTAGAAATACCTATGACTTATACCCAAAGCATGCTTCTATCTTCTAATTAACCAATTAATAAAACACAACTGGGTAGGGGAAAGGGAGTTCCTTCTCTTACTATGAATTTTTCTTTTTTAGCGGGAGAGGGGAACACAGCTAAAATCACTGTTTATTCTAAAAGAAACAGGATCTTTCACCCTGATTTAATTCACTGTTGCTCATGATTCTAACTCATCACATTAGAACTTAACAGATTCCTCAGAAGTAACAACTTTAAATACCATTCTTAACTTTCAGTGTCTTCTTCGCTGAATAATATACAAGAAACAAGCTGAGTCTAATAAGAATGAAACTTAATAAATTCTAAAGGTCATTTTTAGCTGCAAATTTATTTTTGCTCTACAGACAGTATAAAGTATTTTTGACAGAGAATAAAAACATGATTATAAGACCAACAAAAAACCTCAAAAAATATTGGATTTCTCCATCAAGAAAAATGACTTAAAATGAAGATGTTTGCTACTACACCTTAACTGCAGTTTCAAAAAAACCTCTAAACTGACTTGTTATTTTCAAAAGTGTCAACTTATGTATCTTACCCATAGAGTTACATCAAACCTCTTTAACACAGAAAGAAAGGGAAAAATCAAAAGCCTCACCACAAAAGCCCTATAAGCGCCTAAGAACTCTTAAATCTTCTGAAAGTAAACAACTTTAGTATTTTAGGCAGTTTTGCTGTCTCCCAAAGAAAATTTGCAATCAAATCAAAAGCCTTACCACATCTGGAACTCTATCTGCATTCATTTTGTTGACATGCTCATCATTTAAATTACAGTTGGCCAAATCAAACCTGAAATGTAAACAATAAAAAACTTATTGACTATTTACCCTTTGTGTGTAACTTTTTATTTTACAGCTATCCCCTAAAACTTCTCAAGATCAAACATTTAATAAGATGCCCATCTTTTAAAGTTTTGCAATTAAATACACAGTGAACATGCTTCGGTAAATAATGGAAAAATAATAAGGCATTCTGAGTTTCACATATTGTCTATTAATATTCACCTTGTCATATATTTGTAAAAGAAGCAAAACAGACTTCTATCAGTCTAACCTTAGTATCTTAGGTAGCTCTGCTATCTCCCAAAGAAAATGTGCAACTCATATAGGCAGTTTAAGATATTATAAAATAATACGAACCCCAATACCAGGTCTCCAGGATTTAGAAGATGTCCCAAATGAGTGCGACAAAAGTACTGTTTGTCTGTATTCATTTCAGATGTTTTCTGCACCCAGACCTCCCCGAGGGTATGCTTAACAGAAAAAAATATATATTTTTCAATAATCTAAACATAACTTAAAAATTACCTCAAAGAAAACTTAAATACAATAATGATTTTTGGTTTTTGAATTTTTGTTTTAAATTCAGAAACTGTTATTTTATTTTCTAGGTTTCTGAAACACATTCAAAATTTGCAAATTACTAAATCAAGGGTAGAGAAAGATATTAAGAATTCATAAAAATAAACCATTGATTTTTGCTAAAATTTAATTCAAGACTTTTCTAAAACACTAACAATGACCCTAAAAATACATATATGCAGAACTCTAAAAAAAAATGTTTTCATAGGAAGATGGGCCAATACAGACTGAACAAACAGAATAACTGAAGAGGTAAGGGAATCTTAAACAAGAAAATATTCCAAGCAAACTCTTGTTTGACACAGGGTTTCAAGAAACCAGAGTTCAGACAAAACAGCCTAGAAATCCCAGTAGTAAATCATTAGAGAAGCTAAGTAGTTAATTTTTTGGCTATCTGCTAGTTTGAAGCATAAAATTTAGCATCCTTTTTAAAAAAATTAAACTATTTGTTGCAGAAACAATATACCAAGTTTGAATTTTTAAACTAGAAACCTATTCATTCCCTTTCTAACATAAGATTTTAGAAGTTCTCATTAAGGATAGCATATACTAACACCTTTTACTAACAGAGACAGACCAAGTAAAATGAGATCAAAGCATAATACTAAGAGTTATAGATAAAACTAAGGAATCCCAAAATAAGGAGATGAAAAGAAGTAGAAGGAACCAAATGAAATAAAAGACAGGTCTCAGATTTAAGAAAGACTGAAAAAGAAAAGCAAACTACCAGGGAGAGACTAACTTATGTAACAGGATTTACCTTCTAGCTATGAGACTCCTATTTCTAAGAGCTTTATGAACCTGTTCTTAATATGTGGTTTTATACCTGCCTGAGGAGATGTGGTGTTATACATTTATAATAAATGAAAAGTTTGCTCTTAACTATATTAATTTTTATTTTACATAAATATGTAGAAAGCAATCAGTCTTCTATTTCTACTGATTTTTTCCAATTATCACAAATTATTTTTGCCTCAACAAGCAACATTACCTTAAAGGAAATGAGCACCCTTAGGACCCAGATTAGGGCCTCTAAACACTGTTTCACACTAAAAGAAACCACATACATGATTTCAGACATGGGTTGAAAACTTTACAGTGTGACTTTGGAACACCTGAATGCCATGCTGATGTGCCAGAAAGTAAGGATGCTTTCAAAGACTAGGAAAGTCATGTCTCAAGGACAAAGGAACCATTCTGAAGGTTACTACTGCCTTAACTTAGGGGCAAAATGAGCATTTAGGAAAAGGAAAAAAAGATGAATGGAAAAGGGGAAAGGAAAAAAAAAGAAGAAAAAAATACAGCAAATACTTAATACTTCATGAGATCATGATGACAAATCAGAGAAAAGACACCATAACCAGGGGAAGTGGTTCATGCCTGTAATCCCAGCACTTTGGGAAGCCAAGGCAGGAGGATTACTTGAGGCCAGAAATTCAAGAAAAAGACACTACCAAATACAAAAACAAGTCTAAACTAATTTTCACCACTGCAAATGGTTCTTAGGCCAACTCTTTACTCTGAAAAATATGTGCTAAAAGAGAAAGAATTAAGAATTTATGCAGAAAAAGAGCATTTCAGGAAAACCACATAGCACTAGTTGAAAATGAGAAACTCTTCCTTAGTAATGAATGCCAGCTAATAAGTGTAAAACAGAAATAGAAAATTCACCATTTTGTAACCCTAAATAAAAGAATTAATTAAAAGTGATAATATAAAGTTGATATTTGCATATTATTATGGTATGACTCCATAGATTACCTGCTGCTCTTAAGGGAGAAAAAAAGCATAACAATGGAGGTGTCTGGCTATCACAATTTAACCAGTGAACAATCAGACATTAGTTGTCTCTTGATGTAACATCACAAAAAGTACACAGTATCCTCTCTGAAGTATTTAGCCAACCTAAATTAACCAAACCTGTAGATCAACTTTCCAGTTTAGAGGAAATACAAGGAAGTTAAGCAGCAAGTTAAATGCCGTCATGAGCAAGCATTAAGAGTGATCCAGAAGGTGTAGTATCCTGAGAAAGAGACCACATTCACATAACTTTTATTACAGTATATTACTAGTTATGGTTGTTAATCTTACTGTGCCTAATTTATAAATTAAGCTATATGTAGGTATAAGAAAAAAACACAGTATACTTATGGTTCGGTACCATACGGGGTTTCAGTCACTGAGTACTACGAATATATCCCTCACAAACAAGGACTATTTATAGGTATAAACTATACCTGGACTATTTAAAGGTATGATAATGATACTTTGATTATGTAGAAAAACATTCCTATGTTTGAGATACATACTGAAATATTTAATATTTAGTGATGATTTTTTCAATTTCAAGAGGTTATTGTCAATTGGTCCTCCTCTACAAAAGTAAAGCAAGAAAATGCTTTTATTTATAATAATGAAGTAAACATTAAAAATTTTTTTCCCCAACAAAAATAAACATATAATGTAAGTTTGATAATTTTCACTAAAATAACCACGTTTAAAAAAAAATGCTTTTTTTTTTTTTGAGTTGGTGTCTCACTCCATCGCCCAGGCTAGAGTGCAGTGGCACCCTTACAGCCATCCCAGCGTCAACCTGCTAGGCTCTGGCAATCCTTCCGCCTCAGCCTTCCAAGTAGCCGGAACTACAGGCGCACACTACCACACCCAGCTATTTTTTTTTTAATTTATTGTAGAGATGAGGTCTTGCCAAGTTGCCCAGGCTGGTCTCAAATCCACAGGCTTAGGCAATCCACTCGCTGTGGGATTAAGGTTGAGTCACTGAGCCTGGCCTAAAAAAATGCATTTTTAACCTAATGTGCTGCTAGCTTTATTTGGACTCCATGTTTTGGAATTACCAACAAATATTTTAAAAAGGACTAAAACAGTAAATTGGGAGAAAAAAAGTGGGCAGGAGGTATCTTACCTTTTTTGATATCATTCCAGCACCTGCGCTGCGTTTTAGATCTCGAACTATGCTGCAGTCCATCACAATAAACTCCTCTAGCTGCTTGGGATGGCATAAACTATTGAAAGGGTGACTCCAGAAAGTGCTCCCATCTATATCTGCAACTAAGAATAAGCACAGAACATTACAGAACAAGAGAAATTATGCATTTCAAAGAGTCACCAAATGTGTTAACTAGGAAGCAGTTGGTCTATACCAACTGGGAAGCGTCACTCTGTCTCACTCTCCTAGGATTATGAATCAGCCCAAATTTCACAGCACAGGAGAAATATCAGGTGTCAAACATATCTCAAGTAGTTACTACACTCAGAATGCCACAGTGCTAAGTGCCTTTTAAATAAGATCAGATCCAATCAGCTGTACATTTGTTTCATGTGCTGGCATTTTATTTTAGAAACATGTCAGCCATGTTAGCTCCTTAGTTTGTGGGAAGTAAGGCCCAGTTATACCAGACAGATAAGAACATCCAACCCAATACTGCAAACAGACCTTTAACTGATGAATTCTAATTGATAAAGATAATGATTTCCCAGAAAATATCAGAATAAACTTAAACTTTTATAAAGGAAACTTACATTACAGAAAATATATGAAAAAAGTTTGGGCACATTGGCTCGCATCTGTAATCCCACTTTAGGAAGCCAAGGAGGGAGGATTGCTTGAGCCCAAAAGTTTGAGACCAGCCAGGGCAACATAGTGAGATCTCATTTCTACAAATAATTACAAAAGTTAGCTAGGCATGGTGGCTCATGCCTATAGTCTCGGTTACTTGGAAGGCTAAGGCATAAGGATTGTCTGAGCCCAATGGTCAAGGCTGCAGTAAGCTATGATCAGGCTACCACATTCCAGCCTGGGCAACAGAGTCAGACCCCACCTCAAACAAACAGTAAATGTGGTCTTCTTGAAAAAATAATTTATTCTATAAAGGGAATGCTAAAAACAATCTGTAATAATGATAAAATCAGTTAAAATCCATATTCAAACTAAATGTTCCACTGGGTACAAAAAGTCAATAGTTGCAAAATTTACTTATTTATTTATTTATTTTTGAGTTGGAGTCTCACTCTGTTGTCCAAACTGAAGTGCAGTGGCCGCTCCCTGCCACCGCAGCCTCGACCTGCTCGGCTCTGGGGATCCTTCCACCTCAACCTTCCAGTAGCTGGAACTACAGGCGCGCGCTACCACCTCCAGCTAATTTTTTGATTTATTGTAGAGATGAGGTCTCGCCAAGTTGCCCAGGCGGGTCTCGAACCCGCGAGCTCAGGCAATCCACTCACCTCAGCCTCCCAAAGCGCGGGATTACAGGCTGAACCAAAGAGCCCAGCTTGCAAAATTTAAAGTAACTGCTATACACCAAAATTTGGCAATGATCTTAAATAATTATTGACAGAAATTAAATGAGGTAAATAAATAAGTCAATTTTAGTAGAAACTGATGGAACACATGAATATTTGTAAAAGTTAACAGAGTTGTTTCTTTAAATACAAATTCAAGTGTAACTAATCAAAATCTTTATAATTATTTCAGGGAGAGGAAGGCTTTCCTAATGCATGACAGGGCTGCCCAAATGGCCTCTTTGTTCCTAAGAGTGTGACAGGTTCTGGAAGAAAAAAAGCTTTGCAATTACATGTTTTCTTTCTTTTTTTTTCTTTTCTTTTTTTTGAGTTGGAGTCTCACTCTGTCACCTAGCCTGGTGTGCAGTGGCATGCTCATGGCCACCTCAGCCTCGACCTGCTGGGCTTAGGCGACCCTTCTGCCTCAGCCTTCCAAGTAGCTAGAACTACAGTGTGCTAACATACCCAGCTTATTTTTGATTTATTGTAGAGATGAGGTCTCACCAAGTTGCCCAGGTTGGTATCGAATCCCCAGGCTCAGGCAATCCTCTCGCCTCGGCCTCCCAAAGTGCTGGGATTACAGGCTGAGCAACTACGCCCGGCCACATGTTTTCTAAGTATTAAACAATAGCACAAATTTTAACTAGGCTTTCAAAGCAATATTATCCATGTTTGATAAAATCAACAACATAAATTATTGCTTGCTATAATGAACAAAACTGTCAAGGCAAATGGTTCCCAGAACTTACCTTGTAGGGTGTTTGGATCAATGAGGTGAACAGCACTGGTTACGCGAATACACACACAAATCTGGCTCATATTTCCCAGACTTTGTGCCAGTCTTGGAGACAGACAGACAACATTATCCTAGACATAGGAACCAACATTTAGGATGAGGCAAATCCTATGTAACAGTCCAGTAAATACTCATCAGTGCAAAACCCATCCAGCTGCACTTGCCCAATCCTAATGTTATTTTTAATTCTACATATTAATAAAGAGTCTAAAGAAAAGAATCAGACCTTAACATTAAACATAAGCTATACCTTCTTAAGATGAGCATATCTGTCTTAATAAAAATGCTTTCAAACATCTTCCAGGCTTGGCATGGGGGCTAACACCTGTAATCCCAGCACTTTGGGAGGTGGAGGCGAGAGGACTGCCTGAGCCCATGGGTTTGAGACTAACCTGGGCAACTTGGCAAGAACTCGCTCCTAAAACAAATCAAAAAATTAGCCAGGTATGGTGACGCACTCCTGTAGTCCCAGCTGCTTGGAAGGCTGAGGTGGAAGGATCACCTAAGCCCAGCAGATCGAGGCTGTGGTGGCTGTGATCGTACCACTGCACTCCAGCCTGAGTGACAAGTGAGACTCCAACTCAAAAAAAAAAAAAATCTTCCAGGGTGTATTCACCAAAGTATTATTAAATTTATTTCAAAGTTACTGCAGTGTGAATGCTTATCAATCCAAATGCTAAAACAGTGTGAATTCTAAGTAGAGTATTATAAACATCAAAAGGAGAGTGATTTTCTAAATCAACCTGTGACTTCTTTCAATCTCTATAAAAACAAATTTCAAAAGAACATATTTCTCTTACATGGCTACACACACTAATACATAATCAAAAGACTTAATGCCCAAAAGAGTCACATGTCTACATGTAGGTTGGGAGATGTTAACCAGCAGTAATTATCTGTTTTTAAATTATATTAAAATATAAAAAGAATCTGTGTTATATTTTAAGGTTATCTATTCACAACCACAGGCCCTTCCACTGAAATGATGTTCTGAACATAAAAGTTCCTAGTCCAGGCCTTGGTTTTTAACTTAAGAGATTCCAAGGATAAACAAAATACTTTTGTACATGGTATATTCCTCCAGTTACTCAAGCTAACCAAAGCATTTAATGCACAAGGCCAAAATATGCTCTTACATTTCCATTCTTATTTTTCAGACTTTGTGCCAGGAAAACATTCACTGTTTTAAACCAGGAGTTGGCAAAATACAACCCTCAGGACAAACCGGGTCCACTCTCTATTTCTGTAAATGAAGTTCTGTGGGAACACAGCCCTGGCCATTCCTGTACCTGTTATCCGTGCTACTTGTATGCAACAATAGCAAAGAGAAGTAGCTGCAAAAGAGATTATATGGCATGAAGTCTGAATATATTTAAAATATAGACCTTTACAGAATCAGTTGACTCTGTTTTAAGTTACCATCACCTCCCTAGTACTGTACTATGCTATAAATTAGCAATAACAGCTTTAAAGCTTGAGAGTCGCAGACCTAGGTACAAATCTTGGCTTCACCATGATGTGATCATGCAACCCTGGGCAAGTCATTTAACTCTCCAAACTTCAATTTCCTCATTTTCAAGATGACATGGCTCACCTCATATCATTTTATTATGATGGGAATGAGGAGAAAGATACTAAAGTACTTAGATATTATGCAAAATGTTAAGAATAAGTTATGGCAATTATCATTATTAGTGGTTTAATAACAACATAAATTCCCACACGGTAGAGTTCCATAGCTCCATAATCCTCAGTATACAGCCATATGAATGGAAAGGTAGAAAGATAGATGCGCAATAACTATTTATTGAATTTTAATTCATTTCTATTTTAAAGCAGGATTTTATTCTGGTTCACTTAAATGAAATGATAATCAGCATTTTAAATGTTTTTAAATCATAAAAATGATTCTATGATCTCATTTTCACAATACTGTTACTCAATTTCACCAAAATCCTTTTAGCACATGTTCCACAAAGTGGCTCACTAATATTGATTTTAATGTTTAATTTCATCCCTTTTATTCAAAGTTTCATAAAACCATCATATAGGTTCATAGGATCACAAATTGCAAGAAATAAATTACAAATTGCAGTTTCAAAAACTGCAAACAGGTCTTTTCATTTTAATACAAGAAAACAAAAGGCATGCCAATTCATAATTATAAGCATGATTACTTTTCTGTATCTTTTTAACATGGTTGAATGTGTCAGAAAGCATTTAATGAAGTTATTATAATTTTTAATCAAACCCAGAAGGAATTCAGGTGCTACAAATTACACATAAACCAATTAATTACTTGAGTGTTTATAAATACGGATTAATTAAATGAAAAGAGTACCTTGCATATTGGAACAATTTCCACAGAAAAAGTGCTTTTGTAATTATAAGTGTTACTATGGATATCCTGAGAGATCAGTCTTTGTGATGCTTTGCATCTATTAAGAAAAAAAAAAAAGGAATAGTACTGTAAAAACAAAGGTCCTTAATTATACAGACTCAGGAATATTAATTTTCATCCAGTCAAATCATCACTGTCCAAGATCTGAAACAGCTTCCTGATGCCCACTATGGTAAAACCTAATTTCATCCATTTCTATTTCAAAATCTTCATCAGTCTGACCCCATTCTACCTAGTTTCAGCCTTGCTACTAGAAACCTCCAAAACATGCTCTTGCTCACAACAATCTACTCTCTAACATCCATCACAAGCCACACTGATGGCCACTGCAAGTCTCTAATCTCACCATTTAATATAAACTCCACCTATGAAAACTATCCACATAGATTGAAGCACAAGTCCTACCTTCTCCACGATCTTCTCCCCAAAGCCCTCCCCCTTCCATCTTTCCTTTCTCTTATCATCTACATACACTGGCTCAGTGGTTCAGCACTATTGTGCTTATTATCATGGAACTAGGGCTAGCACTTTGGCTAATATATCCTGTAAAGTGGCTAACCCAATAAATGCTTTCTGATTTTCTAAGTATTTCTACCACAATTTTAAACATAAAGAAGTTGTCTAAGCCTGAAGAACAGAAGTGACCTATATCCATTCCCAGGTCTTTGGACTTAGTCACATTTAGGGTCAGAACATACCTACAGGGCACTGTACACTGAAGAAATTCTATCATCTTCTGCGCATGTTGTTTTGAGGAATAATAGAAATCCAGACCATCTTAAAAAAAAAAAGCCACATGAAAATAATTCTGTAAGATTTTCCTCCACTAACCTGATTACATCACAGATTAAGTCCAAATTAAACACAGGCTGGGTACAGTGGCTCACACCTGTAAACCCAGCACTTTGGGAGAGGACTGCTTGATCAACCTAGAAAACATAGAGAGACCTCATCTCTACAAAATCAAAAAATTAGCCAGGTGGTGGTTCATGCCTGTAATTCCAACAACTTGAAAGGCAGAGGTAGAAAGATCACCTGAACTCAGAAGATCAAGGCTGCAGAGAGACATGATTGTGTCACTACATTCCAGCCTGGATGACAGAGTGAGACCTGAGACCCTGACTCAAAAAAAAGAAGGAAAATCTATATTAAACAAAACTGAACTACTAGAAAATATTATATTGTAGTTATAACAGATTAGGGATAACACTTAAGACATTTCTGGCAAAAGGACAACAAAATAAATCAGACAAATGCTAGCAAATGAAACCAAGATTTGCAATTTTAATTCCAGGTGGGCCTTGGTGGCTCAGCCTGTAATCCCATGCTTTGGGAGGCCAAGGTGAATGAATTACCTGAGCCCATGTGTTCGAGACCTGCCTGGGCAACTTGGCGAGACCTCATCTCTATAATAAAATTAGTCAGGCGTGGTAGTGCGCGCCTGTAGTTCCAGCTACTTGGAAGGTTGAGGCGGAAGGATCGCTGGAGCCCAGCAGGTCGAGGCTGCGGTGGCTGGGCGCAGCCACTACACTCCAGTCTGGGCGACAGAGTGAGACTCCAACTCGGGGAAAAAAAAAAATTTAATTCCAGACTAAATAAAATTCAAGACCAAGGGGGAGAGAAAATCAAAAAACAAGGATATTTTCTGTAATAAATGGCATAATCTACCAAGATATTCTTGCAAATAACTCAGCTAAACAGAAAATTAAAATTACCCACAATAGCCAGAATAATTTTGAAGGAAACAAACAAAGTTATAAAACTTGGACTTCACAAGCTAGCATTGGTCAAGTAATCGAAACAGTAGGGTAATAAAATAAATATATATATAGTATGTATAGATAAATATAGATCAATGGACCAGAATTGAGACTCCAAAAATAAACCACTACATTGACAGTTAACAGATCTTTGACAGAGGATACAAGGCATTCACTGGGGAAAGGACAGTTCTTTCATTGGAACAAAGACTATCCACATAGAAAAAGATAAATTTAGGTACTTAACTCACATCCTTCTTAAAAATTAATTCAAAAGAGACAGGCCTAAATACAAGAGCTAAAACTATAAAACATTTTAAAGAAACCAGAGAAAATCTGTGCGAACTTGATTAGATGAACAGTTCTAAGCACAATACCAAAATCAGGATTAATAAAAGAAAAACTTGATAAATTGAACTTCATAAAAATTTGAACTTTCACAATTCAAAGGACCATTAAGAAAATGAAAAGACAGGCTACAGACTAGGCAAAAATATTTGCAAATCATGTATTGATAAGAGACTTGCATCCAGAATATACTCAACATCATTAGTCCTTAGCAAAATGAAAATTAAAACTACAATGAGATACCACTTCAACTGACCATCTAGAAAGGCTATAAACAAAAAGTAACAAGTGTTGATGAAGATATGGAGAAACCGAAACCTCAAATATTGCTGGCAGGAATGTAAAATGTTACAACAGACACTTTGAAACAGTTTTTTATACATAAATATAAACATTAATTACCATATGACTAAGTAATTCTACCCCTAAGTATGTACCCAAGAGAATGAACAGCTGAGGTGCTTGCTGAGGACAAAGGAAATAGACAGTGGGCAGTAGGAGAAGTCAGATATATAGGTACTAAGTACAAACCTGATACAATACTCAGAAGAAAATTCATAGCCTTAAATATATTAGAAATTAGGCCAGACGCAGTGGCTCATGCCTATAATCCCAACACTTTAGGAGGCTGAGCCAGAAGGATAGTTTTGAGCCCAGGAGTTAGAGACCAGCCTGGGCAACATGGCAAGACCATCCCTCTACAAAAAAAATTAGTTGGGTGTGGTGGCAACACACCAGTAGTCTCAGCTACGCGGGAAGCAGAGGTGGGAGGATCGCCTGAGCCCATGAGGTGGAGGCTAAAGAGAACCATGATCATGTGACTGCACTCCAGAGGGAGACCCCGACTCAAATAACAATAATAAAATAAAAAGCAAAAAATATTATATAAAAAACCTAATAGCTCTCAAAAATAATTTTCTTCCAAGAAGAAGCTAATCTATCTACATAAAACAAGTTTCCAATGAATTTTCTGTCACAGCACCTTATACTCTATTCATGTAGTTATCAGTTTACTTATCTGGTAATGAGACAAGCAATCCAGAGGGCAGGAATTAATATTAATTCATCTTTATATTCTAGGAACCCAGAATAGCATCTATCACAAACTAATATATCTTGGTTCTAGATATGTGCTATCCAACAGAGTAGCCACTAGCCATATGTGGCAATTTAATAGAAATCTAAATTAAAATAGGAGAAATTTTAAAATTCAGTTCCTGAGATGTGCACATTTCAAGTACTCAACAGCAATATTGGACAATGCAGATAGAAAACTCTTTAGGATAGTATTAATCCAGTTATTATCGGTAAAGATAAGATTACTTAAGTAAGTTAAAAGATAATTTTGACATCATTTCAAATGCTTTTAAATTTTAACTCACCATGAATTTCTTTGATACGAAGCGTATTCTGATGCATTCCATATTTCAGAATCAACTGTTCCAGATAGTAGAAAGTTTTTTTGTGCAAAGTCTAAATATATAAATGCATTATTAGATCAATAAATGCCCCAAAACCCACTTATAGATACAGCACTCATAAGCCATCTCTAGCTAGATCGAGCACACTGATTTTTTAAACAAACAAAAACCATCTTTAAAGATTATCTAAAATGTAACGATCCCCAAAGGTGAATGCTCCAGAGACCTACACCATCTCTGGTGGTCTGAGAATGGAAAGAAGGGAAAGGAGGAAGGAGGTCTTACAAGCTGCTTATAACTGACAAAGAAAAAATACAAGATGCAGAACTCTCGCTTCATCTTGTCTCATTACCTTTTGCCTGACTTGAACCACAGCCTTCCAGAAATCCTTAGCTTCTACTCTGTGGCAATCTCCACACATCTGGGACTGAACAACATAATCTACCACAAACACTTGCTGAAGGATGGCACCATTCATCACCTGACAAAGAAAATAATTACACGCCTTCACTCTTTCAGGTATTTCAAGTCAAATACTTGTCTTAAAAGATGTCTTAATATTTAACTTAAAACCCTTTTCCATGAATGCTTTGAGGACATCAGTCACATTTAAAGTCATAATAAGTTATACTATCTCAAGAAAGGTATATAAGTTTAACTCCCAAGATCTATTAATGTCTCAAATTTACCTGTAGTTGAAGTAGTGAGGATATTCTTTGAAGAATTAACATATGTATGTACACATGCGTATGTATATATTTATATAGAGAATTCATCCTTAGAAGGAAAAAACTTCTCAAATATAAACAATTAATTTAATGGTTCCCAAACATAGCTGATCAGAAATCATATGGGAATCTTTTTATACACAGGCTGGGCACCCCAAATCTGAAAACTCAAACTCCAAAATTTCAGCTTGAAAATCAAAAACTTTTCGAGTGGTCTACATGGTACTCAAAGGACACGCTCACTGGAGTATTTCAGATTTTAGATTACGGATGTTCATCCAGTTAGTATAATGGAAATACTCCAAAATTTTTTCTAAAAAAATCTAAAATCTGAAACACTTCTGGTCCCAAGCATTTCATATAAGGGACACTCAACCTGTAAAGAGATTCCTGGACCTCACAGGCAGAGATTTTTGATTCAGTTACTGTGAGTCATAATGATGATCAGTCGAATTTGAGAATCACTGCCTTAGCCCATGTTTTTATCTCAATTCTTTCCCTAATAAAAATGACTTTGGAAAAGATCATGAGCAATGGCTGCTCTTACTAGTGACCCAATTATCTGTACAGATGATCAAAAGAAAACAAAGGACCAAATTGAGTCCATTCTTTTCCTTTTAAGCAGTTCAAGTCATAAAATAACAACCAGTAGGCCCTCATTCTCACAACCTGCACTTTAACCATGCTGAGAAAATTATTTTTAGCTTACCTCTTTCTGAACAGTTAGTTTAACTTTAAGTCTCTTAGAATGAGGCTCAGTCCAAACAAAGCTTGCATCTACAAGGCGAACCTTCAGTAAGACACAAACAAAAAGAAGCATAAGTTCACCTGAGGAGAAAAAAAAAAGATGGAACAGCATCCTTAATAAGCAGATTTTATTAAGATACTTAAGGAATCTGTGATCAGCATCACTGCACACCATCACACCATCACTTATCAACAGAAGAATGGCAACAACAGCAGGAAATAAAAAGGACAATCCAATTACTATATTAATGCAACTGATATAATTTAAGCAAAAATTAAAGTATTTGCATAGGAAAAAAAATCCTCTTCCCTAATAAAAAAGTACACTTCTTTGAAAGAAAATCGTATTTTCAGAAGAAAGCAAAGGCAGATAGACCCCCTATTTATTAGAAACCTCATGAACAAAAGTTTCCACTTGGATTCTCTCTACATTAAGTCTGTGGCTTTTAAGAATCGACATTAATTAGAGGAAGTTTCATGCACTGAATATTAAATCCACAATCATAACTCACTGCTCAATCTATAGCATCTCCAGAGGCCAAAACCAGCTTGCTCTATATGAGGACCGAACATAACTCAATATGGCCAGATGGGTCTTTGGGAACATGGGAAAGGGGCCGGGAGAGAACAAGAATGAGGGCTATAATTGGCAGTAATTTGGACAGGATTGTGGATGAGCAGAAGTAGATCTAGTAGCTATTTAAGAAACAAAATTCTTAAGATTTAATGATGAGTAGATGTGGGAAGGAGGAAGGGAACAGACTCTAGAATGATGCTCAAGTATCCACCTTGAGCAGCCAGGTAGTACTATTCTTCTGACACAGGTTTAATGTGGAGAAGATGTTACATTTGATTTCAGACGTTTAAGTTTAAGAAGGTAGCTATGAGGGTATCTCTGTGCTCTGTCTATCCCTTCCCCATTCCCAAGAGCCTCCCCCAGCCAACTCTTCTCCCTGGGTTTCACAACATTTTCCTTCCATACTCTGTCAAGTCCAGAGAGCTTACAAATACAGCTCTATTTCCCATTTAAGAAATGCATCCCACCAGGCTCGATGGCTCAGCCTGTAATCCCGCGCCTTTGGGAGGCTGAGGTGAGTGGATTGCCTGAGCCCACGGGTTCGAGACCCGCCTGGGCAACTTGGCGAGACCTCATCTCTACAATAAATAAAAAAAATCAGCCGGGCGTGGTAGCGCACGCCTGTAATTCTGGCTACTTGGAAGGCTGAGGCGGAAGGATCGCCAGAGCCAAGCAGGTCAAGGCTGCGGTGGCCGGGAGCGGCCACTGCTCTCCAGTCTGGGCAACAGAGTGAGACTCCAACTCAAAAAAAGAAATGCATCCCTTCCCAAATTTCCCCTCCAGTTACTGCCCCATGTCTTTGTTTCTCTTGCAGCAAATCCTAAAAGAACTGTCTCTACTTGCTGCCTCCAATTCCTTCTCTTCTCTCATGTCCATTTAAATCACCACCACTATACAGAAATTCCTCCTTGGTATTACTAATGATCGCCTCATTGCTACATCTACAGGACTCATGATTGGCCCCAGCAGCTGCAATCACACAGCCACTCACCCGCCTCTGAAAACACTTCTCTAGCCTTCCCAGAAGTTCCTTTCAGTCTCTGCTGCCAATTTCTCTTCATCTACCCACACTTTTATCATTAAAGAAGTTCAGGAGTCTGTCCTCCAGTTTCTTCCCTTCTCCATCTAAACTCTCTAGGTAATCTCATCCAGGTCAAGGCTATACTCCAAATTCATCACCTCTCTTCAGGACCTGCTAGCGTATCAATTTGCTGATTCAGTATTTCTACAATGTCCAGTGGACACCTAAGCACCAGCGAGAGCTGAGTTCCAACTCCCCCACCTGACCTGCCCTTCTCGAAGCCTTTACTCACTGATGGCAACTCCTACCTCCTGACTGCTCAGGTAGGAACAGTAGAGGCACCGCAACTCTTTTGTCTCTCACACACATCCAGCTGCCTCAGGAAATGCTACTGATGACCTTCTAAACAGATCCAGAATCTGTCCAGTCTCATTACCTCCCCTGCTGATTCCAAGCCATCATTTCTCATGAGTGTTACATCACTTCCACCTTTACCCCCTCAACTTTACTCGAAACCCAGCAGCCAGAGGGATCCTAACACGTCACAACTCACTCCTCTGCCCCTTACTTGCTCCAGTCGTAACAAAGAAACACACTCTGCCTTCCATGCCTTCTCTGACTCTGTCCCCAACTACTGTCCCCCAACACCACACCACTCTAGCCACACAAGTGAGCTCTTACCTCCAGTCTCAACACTTATTTTCTGTACCAATGGTATTCTTCCTCCAGATTTCTGTACCACTTCCTCCCTTACCATCTTCAGTGTTTCCTCAAATGTTACCTTATTGGTGAGGCCACCCCTCAACACCCTTATTTTAAATTTCAACTCTTCTCTGCACAGTTCTTACCTCCTTCCTAGCTTCTTTCTCCACAGAATTTATACCTTTGAATATACCATATAATATACCTATCTATTTTGATCATTGCATACTAGCACATCTTTCCCCCTCAAACTAGAATATAAAGCTTTCTAGGACAGGGACTATCTCTCCCATTCGCTGCCTTATCCCCAAAACCAAAAGTAATTTGACACAGAGGTGGCACTTAATAAATACCTGATGAAACAATTAATGAATTAAGACTCACCAGACATTTGACAAAAGCCTAAAGTATAAAATCAAAAAACCAAAATATACAAAAAACTGACTCCATGAAAAACAAAAACAAAACAAAACAAAAAAACAGACAAATCAGGCAACAAAAAGAAACTTAAAAAAAAAAAAGTTGTTGCCAAAATCTTCAGAAAAATTCAAGACAGAATGTATCATGAAAGACTCTGGAACTTAAAAACATTACTACTGCAAATAATGAAGCATAAGAAAGACTGAAAAATAAAAGAAATTGCCAAGAAGACAGAGGGGGAAAAAGATGAAAAGATTTCTTAAAATATGAAGGGAAACAAAAAGACAAAGTTTGAAACCAGAAGGATCAAAGGCTAACAGATACATAACCCTAATATTATAATCTCCTCAATCATGTTTAGTGATGGTCTCTATATAAAGAATTTCCGAAAAAATAAATAAATAAAGCTGATCATGACAGCATGCAACTGTAGTCCCAGCTACTCAGGAGGATGAGGTGAGAAGACTGCTTGAACACAGGAGTTCAAGGCTGTAGTGAACTATGACTACACCACTGCACTCTGGCCTAGAGTCTATTTTTTAAAATTATACATGAAGAAAGTAATTCTCTAAGTCTCTTAAAGCAAAAAGATAAACTCCATTTTTCATAAAAAAGAATATACACAACTTTAAAAATAAAAACAGCATTTGTGGTGGAATGCTACTAGTGACAATAAGAAACATTTAATAGTTACTTTTGAAAAACCTACTCACACAAGAATTTTCTGAATGAGCGCTTTAATGAAAACAGACCTATAAACACTGATTCTGTTTAACCTACCTTACTCAGAGGCGCCTTGATTTTTTTTAAACACAAAGCAAGAAGTTCCCTGGATTCTAAAGCACACTGTATCCAAGTTCCTGGTGGCTGAAAATATCTGAGAGAGAATATCACACACTGAAATCCAACATTTCTCAGGGAAAATATAAATTTTCATCTGAATATACAGATATAATCTTGATTATTCACCAGGCATAATAATACCCCCAAGATTAATCTGAAGTGCTTAACCCAGATGTATTTTATTAATTCCAGACAACTTTCAACTAGACCAGTACCTTTAGTTAAAAAGAAAATTCTTACTGAGAAAGGCAATGTGAAATAGCCTATTAAAGTGGTTTTACTACGTCAATCACCAGTAAAAATTCCACTGAGGATGACAAAAAGCCCAAAAGTCTCCTGAAGCTATGCTCTGAAAAACATGTAAGAATCGTCTCAAAATGGCATTAAAATGATTTATTATGTACTTCTTAAATGCTTGAGAACTGTTTATTTTCCACAAAAAAAGGTAAATTAATACTTCACAACACTACTTATCAGCAATAGTTCAGACTATGCATCTATATATCAAGCTCCTTTTAAAATGTTAAATAGTGGAACCCAAAGTTTAAAACCTTAGAGAAACCATTTGGGAAATCACAGACTGGGCAATTCTGTGTTACTCAATGACCTAATAGACAGAAGCTGTTCATGCTAACAACTAGAGAAAACAAAGAGGAATGAAACATTAACTTTCTGAAGAAGTCTTCTGCCTTCAAATCCAATCTATTTCAGACCATTCCTGATATGATTCACTGAGCTGCTTTTCCATCAGCTAGTCATTTTAGTTAAATGTGAACAGTAACAGGTTTTAAAACATATTGCTAAATTGCTCCAAACACAGAATGCTTTTTATTATACATAGCTCCTAATAACTAAAGAAAAAACTCAGGATAATAACAGTACTACATCCTTAGTAACCTGCTCTCACCCACCCTTACAAACAAACTCCTACCTATTAACTGTACACATCAAACCTATTAAATTCTTTAATGGGAAAAGAATAGATTCAAATACATTTACACTATCTTTACCAGGTTAACAAGGCAAACTACAAAAGTACACAAAAATATGGCAAATCCTGGCCAGGTGCCATGGCTCACACTTGTAATCCCAGTACTTTGGTAGGCCGAGGTGGGAGAATTGCTTGAGCCCAGGAGTTCAAGACCAGCATAAGCAATATAGCAAAAGTCCTTCTCTACAAAAAATACAAAAATTAACTGGGCATGGTGGTGTGCATCTGTATTTCCAGCTACTTAGGAGGCTGAAGTGGGAGGATCACTTGAGCCCAGGAGTTTGAGGCTGTGGTAAGTCATGATCGTGCCACTGTACTCTAGCCCAGGTGACAAGCGAGACCCTGTCCCTAAAAAAACAAAACTAAATTTCAATTGCATGCACTTCATTCTACATATCTTGATGTGATCTCAGCATATCCCAGTGGCGCTCTAAATATACACCCCAAATTTAAGAATGGTGAAGTTGTACGACACTGACCTTTGACATTGTTTGCAGAAAGAAATCGAAACTTGCTTTGGAATACCTTGGCTGATGTCTACCTTACTCCGCAAACAGGCCACACAAATATTGGCAGGATTTGGGCTTATCGGAACACCACACTCACAGCACAAACTTAAACAAATAGAAAATAAAATTGTCAAATTAGGTCTTATTTAATATACTAGTTAAGTTTTTAAAAAATACCAAATAAACAAAAGCCTTCAAGTTAGGCCATAGTATTTCTGCACACACACACACACACACACACACACACACCCATTTTTTTTTTTTAACAAAGAACTCTGAAACAAAGCAATCTGCAAAGATGCAGGTGATTTAAAAAAAAAAAAAAAAAAACAGCTGGGCACAGTGGCTCACGCCTATAATCCCAGTACTTTGGGAGGCTGAGGTGAGAGGATTGCCTGAGCCCACAGGTCTGAGACCAACCTAGGCAACTTGACAAGACCTCATCTCTACAATAAATCAAAAAATTAGCCGGGTATGGTGGCGCATGCCTATAGTTCTAGCTACTTGGAAGACTGAGGCAGAAAGATTCCCTGAACCCAGCAAGTAGAGGCTGCAGTGGCTGTGAGGGTGTCACTGCACTCCAGCCTGAGCAAGAGTGAGACTTCAACTCAAAACAAACAAACAAAAAAAAAAACAACTTTAGAATACTGGGGCAAAAAAACAAAAATGGCTAGAATTCTGAAAACAGTCAGCATAAAGCTGATGCCCTAAGGGTCTAGAGAGTCAATGCTGTCCAGAAATCCTCCATGCAATGGGAGAAATGTTCTATATCTACTTCTGGCCAGTGCAATAAGATAGCCATAAGCTACAAGTGGCAACTGGGCCATTAAAAATGACTAGTGCAACTGGAACTCCATTTTAAATTGCATTTAAATTTATATTTAAATAGCCACACAGGTCTAAACAAACCTTTTCTATTAAAAACAAATGAAAATATAGTTACATTAAAACAAATGGAGATATACTGATAGAGAACACAAATCTTATACTAATTTCCATTTCAAATACTTAAATACAATAAAAAATAAGTTTAAGCTATCATTACCATACCCCATCAAGACCATCCACAGAGGTAACCATTAGTAATTTGTTCTGACCACTACCTCCAGAGCTGCACCAAGAACTCAATTCATTTGCTCAGGGCCTATGAGGGACCATAGCTTAGGTAAAGAGTATGGTATCACAAAATAATGCATCTCTGATAAGCATTTCTGGAAAATGTGAAAACCTCTGGACTACACCAACAGAAACCAATATCTAGGCCAGGTAAAGAGGCTCACACCTGTACCCAGCATGGAAGCCTAAGGTGTAAGGTTCGCCTGAGTCAAGGAGGCAGAGGTGGCAGCGAGCCATAATTGTTCCACTGCAATCCAGCCTGGGTGACACAGTGAGACCCTAATTCAAACAAACAAAAAAAAGAAAATAAATTGGTATCTAAATCATGTCTAGGCCAAGCGCAGTGGTTCATGCCTGTAATCCCAGTATTTGGGGAGGCCAAAGTTGGACAATTGCTTGATCCTAGGAATTCAAGACAAGCCTGGGCAACACAGTGATATCCTGTCTTTACAAAACATAAATAAAAAGTAAAAAAAGAAAACTTAAGCATTTTAACAGTAACTAGACAGCAATATACACTAAAGGAATATTAAAAAAAAAAAAAAAAGCATTGCCAAAATAAACATTTACCCAGGGCAAAATGTTTTTTAATAAGATAGGAAGGGTGTCAACATCTAGTGTTTCAGTATAAATGATGAGTATCACAATTCTAGGCAAACTGAAGGAAGAAAGCTTGAGAACCACTGATGCAGAAGAATGCTGTCTTATGAAGAATGCTGATTATTAGGCTGGGTGCATTGGCTCACACCAATAATCCCAGCACTTTGGGAGGCCAAGGTGAGAGGACTGCCTGAGCCCACAGGTTCGAGACCAGCCTGGACAACTTGATGAGATCTCATTTCTACAATAAATTAAAAAATTAGCCAGGGGTGATGGCGTGTGCCTGTGGTTCCAGGTCAAGGCTGCAGTGGCCATGAGCATGTCACTGTACTCCAGCCTATGTGACAGAGTGAGACTCCAACTCAAAAAAAAAAAAAAAAAAAAGAATGCTGATTTTTAAAGAAAAGTTTAATAATCTCCCATGTCCAATGATAGCCACCAACCACATGTGGCTACTGAGCACTTGAAATGTACCTAGCACATTAGAGCACCGAGTATTTAATTTTATTCCATTTGAATTAATTTAGAAAACTTCCAGATCAAACTGTTTGGGGCCTATGCTGAGGGAGCCCTGCGGAGGGTGAGCAGTTACTAACAGAGCTAGAAGTGCTGGAAGTTGGGTAGCGTGATCATTTTAAGAAGCATGATAATCAAACTTAAGCCCATTCCAAGAAAAAGCTTGGCAAAGAGCACTGAGCCCTTATACAAGTGTCTGTTAAGAGCTACCAATGGAAAACTCAAGATCAGCACTGTGGTAGCTCCAAAGAAATGAGTTTCATTCGGTTTATTCAAATCCACAGAGAGCTAACAATGCGCTGGCTGAAGGAGACAAACAGCAAGGGAGACAGAAAAAGCAGCACAGGGAAGGGCCCCAAGTATCCTGCTTTCACCAACTAACCACTAAATTGCTCTTTTTGCTTTGGCTTTAAATTGTGGCCATAAAGCTAGGTTTCTGCTTCCCCATTAGCAACCTTTCGAGTGAGATTAGGGTCATTTTGAAGAGAGGAAGGGCTGCAATGTTTACAGGGTAGTTGTGGCAAGAAGTCAGTTTATTTTAGATTTGGCTAAATGGTTTGGGCTACATGACTGTATATTCCAGAACTGTAGTTTAAAAGTCTCGGTGGTAATCGCTGTGAAGAGCAATATAGCATTAAACCTGTCCATTTAGCAGCCAAAAAAAAAAAAGTTAATTAAGTTTAGATATTTAAATTTTTTAAAAATAAGATTTAAATTTTTAAATTTAAAAATAAATTTTCACTGCACTCCAGTCTGGGTGACAGAGTGAGACTCCAACTCAAAAATAAATTAATTAATTAGTTAATTAATCTTAAAAATAATAAAAATTTAAAATGTTTAATTAAAAAATAGAAATTAAAAGGTCTTAAGTTAAAAATAATAAAAATTTTAAATTATTTTTTAAACTAAAAAAATTACATTATAATCCCTAAAACAAAATAACAAGTGAGAAATTTAAAGCCCACACGTGGCCAGTGGCTACTGAAATGGCAGTGCCCCCAAAAGGACGCACAGCGAAGGTCTGATCACTCCGGAGGAGGCTCCTACTAAAACAAACGTTGTAACGGAAAACGGACTCTTCCTACAGAAATGAGACCTTCCAGGGTAGGGACGACCCCGCCCCCTGCAGACGGCCACGTCGAGAGGGAGGGGCCGCCACTCACATGCGCCCCGGGCTGCGCTCGGCGGCCTCGGTCAGGTACTCCATCGTCACCCCGGCTTTAAGGTGACAGCACGGGTCTCAGGTCGCGGCGTCCAGTCCCCTCTTCCTATGAGTCCTCTCTCCGCCTCCGACAGGAGCAGGGAGCCCTAGAGCAGGAAGAAGGAAAACCCCCTCCACTCGGCCACTTCCCGAGGGCCAGGACACGGGGCTTCCGGGCCGTCCTATCGCCAGGGACAAGGCCTGCGGCCCCGATCTCGGCCACCACCCGATCCCACCCCGGATCTCACCTCGGAGCACACCTCAGATCCACCTATCTCATCTCAGATCCCACCCCAGACCTCACTCTGGATTCCATCTCACACCCACCCCGCACCTCATCCCAGATCCGACCTCGGATCCCACCTGCTGATCCCGGGCGAGCCGGCGCGGGCGCGGAGCCTGGGTTCCCCCTCCACTGGCCACAGGACCCCGCACGGGGCAGCCTGCTTCCGGGCCGCGCCGCAGGAGTCCGGGAGGCGTCCCCCTTCCTCCGGCCCGCCGCGACACGGAACCCGACCCCGCGGGCTCCACCTCACCCGTGCCGAGACGCCGGCGCACACGTGGACCAGACCGGTCCGGCCCGCAGACCGCCCAACCCCGCCTCGGGGACCAGCACGCCCGCAGCCTGGGTCTCAGCCCCCCGGAACTCACCCAGCGCCTCCAGGCCGGGCCCAGATTCTCTCAAAACCCGCAACCAGCCGGCTCCTGCCGCCCTGTCAGCGACCACCGCGGCCGGATAGGCTATGGTGAGGTCTCGCGGGAGAATGACTTGAAATCCCGCGGTCCGAGGGAAGCGTGTAGAGGGGGGAGGGGAAGGCCAAGGTGAGCGAGGCGGGCAAAGGGGCGGGCACAGGCAAGAGGGACGTGGAAAGGGGCGGGCACAAGTGAGTGGGGCGGGGAAAGGGACGGGCACCGGCAAGCGGGGCGGGGCGAGGGGAAAGAACCCCCGGGGCCCCTCGGTCTTCGGTAACCGCTTTTATCTTCCGAATCGTCCCTGGCCAGAGTTGATTCCGAGCCAGTCTCGCCCATGAATAAACCTCTTTTTGATTCTCCCAGCTGGGAGCTGGCTTCTTGGTTAAATGATTATTTTATATCAAAGTTAGCTGTAGGCCGAGCACGGTGGCCCAGCCTGTAATCCTAGCACTTGGGAGGCCGAGGCGAGAGGATTGCCTGAGCCCACAGGTTCAAGACCAGCCTGGGCAACTTGATGAGACCTCGTCTCTACAATAAATCACAAAAACTAGCCCGGCGTGGTGGTGTGCTTCTGTAGTTACAGCTACTTAGAAAGCTGAGGTGGAAGGATCGCCTGAGCCCAGCAGGTCAAGGCTGCGGTGGCCGTGAGCATGCCACTACACTCCAGCCTGGGCGACAGAGTGAGACTCTAACTCAAAAAGAAAAAAGTTATCTGTAAACAGTGCATTGTACAAAGAAACTAAACTCCATTGAGAGTGCCTTTGTCTAGTCTACTCATCATTGTATGCCTGATGCTGCCTTGTTATAACTGCTCAGAATAAATGGAAGAATGAAATGTAATGCATAATGATCTGTGAAGGAGGCTATGCCGTTCTTAGACTAGTTATTAGAATGTGCTTACTGGTGGTACACTGAATTTTTCCTTATGACTTTTTGAAAACTTTTTTTTTGAGTTGGAGTCTCACTCTGTCGCCCAGACTGGAGTGCAGTGGCCGTTCCTGGCCACCGCAGCCTCGACCTGCTGGGCTCCGGCAATCCTTCCGCCTCAGCCTTCCAAGTAGCCGGAATTACAGGCATGCGCTACCACGCCCGGATGATTTTTTTTTTATTTATTGTAGAGATGAAGTCTCGCTGCCCAGGCGGGTCTCGAACCCGCAGGCTCAGGCAATTCACTCACCTCAGCCTCCCAAAAGCGTGGGATTACAGGCTAAGCCACCGAGCCCGGCTTGAAAACTTTTGATTGTTTGTTTATTTATAGAGATGGAGTCTCACTACACTGCGAGGCAGGTCTCCAGCTCTTGGCCTCAAGTGATCCTTCCAATTTGGTGTTCCAAAATAATGGGATTACAGATGTGATCCACCACAACCAACTGAATGTTTCCTTAGGACTTTATCCCTTGATGTTAGAGCAGCACAAACTGCCTAATTGACTTTCTCATGACAGTATTCCAAGTATTTGAAAAGCACAAACATTTTTTTTTCAGGCTTCTCACCAGATTTCAAGGAATAGACAAAGGTATTTCATAGAGAAAGACTGAGAAGGACTCTCATCATTTCTTGCCCAGGATACTTAAATGATCTCCCATCTGTTCACCCAACTTGCAGACTCCATCCTTCCAAAATGTGAATCTGATTTTGCCACACTTCCCTGTTCTTAGTCCTTCAGCGGTCTATGACCACTTTCAGGATTATTTACAATTTCTTTGCATGGAAAAAAGACCCTTAGGGATCTTATCTCCACATATCCTGTCTCAATCCCAAGCACAGCCATAAAGACCAACTGTCAGGTCCTCGCAGGAAGCTGTCTACCTTTGCTTATGCCTGTGATACTCTGCCTTCAAGATTAAGTATGTATTCACTTCCTATTACTGCTCTAACAAATTACCACAAATGTAGTTGGACTTTAAAAGCACAAATTTATTATCTTACAGTTCTGGAGGTCACAGTTGGCAGGGCTAGTTCCTTCTGGAGGCTCTGGAGGAGAATCCATTCCCTTTCCTTTTCCAGCTTCCAGAGGTTGCCCGCATTGCTTGACTTGTGGCCCCTCACCATTGTGCTATCACATCTCTTTCTCTGACCCTACTTCCTCCCTCTTGCAAGAACACTTGTGATTTCATCAGGCACAACCAGATAATCCAGAATAATCCCCCCATCTCATGATCCTTAATTTAATTGCATCTGCAAAGTCCCTTTGTCATGTAAGGTGATATTCACAGGGACATCTTTGGGAAGCCATTATTCTGCCCACCACACACCCCCTCCTCTCCTGACTTCCTCCCTCCCTAAGGACCAGAGCAGTTAGATGTTCCTCCTCTATGTATGGTCCTATTAAAACACCTGTGTAGGCAGTGTATGTATGCCTGTATAACAGCGCTTTGAGTTGGATTATAAATGTGCTACTCTGCATGCCCTGAAGTTTCAAATCCTGGAGAACAATTGGGGTCTCGTTCTTTTTTAGTATCCCCTGCACCTAGCACAGTGCCTGGCTGTGGGATAAATACATATGTCCCGCTTCCCCTCCCCTGAGAACTGCTCCTTGACTGGGAAGATGGCCCCTGGCCAAGGCCATTTGTACCCAGTCAAGATGTTCTGAAAATATGCACACCACATACTCAAAGCAGTTACTAAGAGAGTAAACATCTTGGTTTCTGCTTCTTTGCACATAATGCTGTTATTTGTGTCTTGCTCCCTTTCTCACTGGGGGTATATCATCTATCCCACTACTATTGAGGTATAGAGAGTTTTGGGGGTTTTTTTCCATAATTTTTTTTAAGAGGACAGAAAAGCTCCCACAGTGGGAGGGGACCTGAAGGGGTTGCCCCTAAATTTTATTTTATTATATAGATATGGGGTACAAATGGGGATTAACTACCTAAGTAGGTTGCATGCAGGTGAAGTTTGGGTTTCTAACTGGCACTCACCCCCCCTTGTGGTGGACAAGGTATCCTTTGTGTGGTCACATGGCCCCCCTCACCCTCTTCCCTCCCTCCCTCCCCTAGCAATGCCTATTGACTGCTGATCCCTCCCTTGTTCTGATGTGACTAATGTTCAGGGCCCACTTATGAGTGAGAACATGCGGTATTTAGTTATTTGTTTCTGTGATAGACCACTTAGACAATATTCTCCAACTCCATCCAATTTACTGCAAAGTCCATAATTTTGTTCTTCTGTATGGCTGCATAATACTCCATTGTATATATGTACCACATTTTCTTTATCCAGTTTACTTTTGATGGGCAGTAGGGTTGGTTCCACGTTTTTGCTATTGTGAATAGTGTGGCAATAAACATGCATGTGCAGGTGTCTTTTATAGAATGATTTATGTTCCTCCAGGTATATTCCAAGGAGAGAGATTGCTGGTCATATGAAAGGTGAATTTTTCGTTCTTTTAGCAATTGCCACACTGCTTTTCATAGAAGTAGAACTAACTCACACTCCCACCAACAGTGTAGAAACTGAGGTGCAGAGAACTTTGTACCAACCAGCCTCCATCGGTTCTCTTCTGTAAGTATTAATAAACCCATGTCTTTACCAACTTGTCCTTTAGGTGATTTCTTTGGACTAGGTAAGCATTATACGAGTGCCCTGTCTGATTTGGGGCTGCCAAAATACACTGGCACAAAACAGACCCTCGGTATATGTTGGTGAATTAATTATTCATATGATACGACAACTCTAAAGAGATAGTGTTTTCATTCCATTCTTTTCCACTCACACTCTTTGCCCTCAAGTAAGCATCACTAGGAACATAACTGTAGTTAAATAAGTTGTGTTTATTTATTACTCATTGAAGTGAGCACAAACACACACCATGGGGAATCACGGGGAGTCTCTGAAAGAGAATCTTAGAACAAACCTGCCATAGTATTTGGGCTTTGGGTGGGTGATCTGGTGGGGGACCATCAGAAAGCAAGGGCAACGATTGGATAGCTTAATAAATCTGATTTATATAAAAGGAGGCAAGAGGATAAAGCTACAATTAGCAAAGACGTAGCAGTTGCTCATTTGAGTGAAGAGACGGAATATTTGGTCTTTTGTGGGTGGCATCATGAACATGCCTCTGTCCTCAGATGAAATTATGAAGTGGCCTTACTTTGTCTCATTTTGCCATGGTTTCAGAGTAACTTTGAGGCTGGTATTGGGTGAAACTGTTTATGTCTAATAGGAGAATAACATGGCCTGGCTGAGTGCCAAACCAGCTTCTAAATGTCAAGGACTGCTCCTGTAGCAAATAAGCAGCAGAACTTCGACATGAACTCCAGTCTGTTTGACTCTGGACCCATGCCCTCACCATCCCAGTGTGACAGATGCCCCAGCTAACCCTACCGTGATCTTGGAAGCTA